ACCCCATGGCGCGCGTGTGCTGATGTTTTGACGTGCGCGTGTGCCTTAAAACGCTTTGAGCGCTTTTGAGCGCGGCGCGGGGGTCTTTAAGCGCGCGCTTACGGTTTCAGAGGAAGAACCTGGTTGGAAACTGAGGCGGGGGGGGTCCGTGAACTAAAAGGGATTGCGCAGGGAACATGAAGGAGTGCTCTCCGTTTTGATTGATTGAGAGATTGATAGATAGATGACTAGATTGATTGTTTCCAGATTTGGAAATGTAGCTTCTCGAGTCCCAGCGTGAAGGATTCCTCCTGCTACTTGTCACTCGCCGCATGCGAGAGTATCTTTCTTTCTTTTTGGGGGAAACTACGCCGGAGTCACAAAAATAAGTTATAATTGCAGCATGGGCCAAGATACAATTCGCAATTGCAGTTCAGTCAATGTATCCAACCCACCTTTCCGGCCAGGTAGGGTGCCCGAAGTGCAATTGCAAGCTGTATCTTGCCCCATAGTGCAATTATAACTCGTTTTTGTGACTCAACTGAATCKTTTTTCTTTCCGATCTGGATCCAGTGGCCTAGCACACTTCGTAAGGCACACAAGTGGCCTTCAGGAGGTCTTGGGTTCAATTCCCAATGTCCTCAGGTGCCGTCCTGGGCAAGCTTGGCCCCCGCGGCCTAGAGATAGACCCTTGGTAACTGCCATTTCGTCAAAATGGACATCTTTTATTTTTTGAACGAAATTGAAACCGACTTTTTTGGCCGAAAACTCGTCAAAATTTGTTGTTCCTGAGGGTCCAAACGCTGGACCCTCAGGAACAGCGAATTTTTACGAGTTTTCGGCCAAAAAAATTAGTTGCAAACCATTTTGACGAAATGGTCGTTTGGTCCCCGCAATTGGCATTAAAAAGCAGTCTCTGCTCATGTTCATAGGGGGAGGGAGGGGTAATCGGGGTGGCATGCTCTGTCCCTCTGCTGCCGGTTGTCCCCTGGCCACTGTCCCCCACTGGGGGTTACTTGAAGGCACTAAGGCTACCCTGGGTTCCATTAGACACAAGATTGAGTTTACCTGGGGCGTGGTCCCACCAGCAGAGGGGATCGGATTGAATGCCTGAATCTGGACGTGTTTGTTGAGAGGTGCAGGAAATAGAGATTGAACTGCTTTTCTGCATCTCTGCATAAAACACATCCAGACTCAGGCATTTGATCCCATCCTCTTTGCAAGTGGGACCTCGTCCCTTGGCTGGTTAGTCCGATGATAATGCCTCAAGGCCATCTCTCTTTAAGGTAAAAAAGAGAGAGAGAGAGAATCTTTCAAGGTAAAAAAAAAAAAAAAAAGGGAGGTGGTTCAGGAGGGAGATCCCACTACCCATGGATTTGGATTAGTGTGACGGGTGTGGGACGAGTGGGGGACAGGTGGGTGGCAGCGTGAAATAGGGAAAATAAATGCAAAAAAACATTTCATGACCAAACAAATGAAGGAATAAAATAAAAAAAAGAAAAGAAAGTGCTCTTCTCACAGATGGTGTCTGCTCCAGCCGGGGTGTCAGATGTCAGGGCATGATTCACTGACCATGGCTTGGCAGTCGAGACAACTGCATGTGAGCCGGCACATGGACCATATTCGTTGACAATACTCTGAGGCTTCCTTGAAATGGGTCACATTGCACGTTACTGGGTTGTTCTGACATAACTTCTCTTTGACAAAGGAGGGCAAGAGTAAGGGTCTCATTAGACACTCCTAAAAGTTCCTGTTTTTAGTATTGCGTCTTCGTTGCACACAATCCTAAATCCAATTTCGAGATCGAAAATGTGAAAACGGCGTTAGGACCAGTCCTAAAGGATTTAGGATTCCCCAGGCAAAATCGTCCTAAATTTTCCAGTAGCCCCTGACCTACTGAAAAATTTAGGATTCCCGCGTTTCACGGACTTGTTGCTTCGCGCGCATGGCACCGTCGCCACGGGGTTGCTGGTCCAGGAGCGGTCCGTCGGGTGGGTGGCCGGACATCGGAGGTTTTCTGCAGGTCGAGGCCGGCAACGGCCACCAGCGGTAGCCGTTGGCGGGGGGGGGCGACCGTGGGCGGGCTGGCGTCCGTAGTGGACCGTTGGCTCGGTTGCGGGTGACGGAGGAGGACGACGACGTGCGCGGGACACCGTACGGAGGCGTTTGGGGTGGTGCGCGGGCGGCAACGGTCGATTTTTGAATCGCAGGCAGGCAGCTTTGTCGTCTTATGTGGTGGTTGCCGGCATATGAAGGTCGAGCGGCCCTATCCCCCGGCATGTCAGAACACTCTTCTGCAGTAGTCGCGTGCGAGGGTGGCTCCCGAGGTGAATTTCATGGCTGACGTGAAGAGGAGATTGCCTCTGCTCGTACTCGTTGTTGTCGTGTTCCTCATCATCGTCTTCCTCCACGTGTGTTTGTCGTGGCGGCCGTGGAAACAACATCGCAAGAGGAGGGCTTCAACGAAATGGGCGGCAGGGGAACATCCGATGGCGGGCATGCAGGCACACGCATGAGTTGGTGCAGGTCAGGGCGGAGGACGACCTCCGACTGCGGACCCTCCACGGCGGTACAAACCATCTTTGTACCGCCATCTAGAGTCGTGGGAGACTCCACTGCCCCCGTCGGACGAGGACCCGGAGACAGAAGAACTTCGAACGTTGCCTCTTGCTAGCGGGTCGACGCAGCTGTTGTCGCAGACGGTGCGAGCATGCGGGTCAGCTAGCAACGAAGGCGGCAGGTTTACCTCACTGCTGCACCAGGGCTTGGGAGACGACGACGACGGAGGACTTGATCTCAGGTTCGGGTTGTGTTCTGGTGGTGCTAGGGAGGTGAGCCGCACGTTCATCATCGACGCTGATCCTTCGCCACGTGGCGTGGCGTTCAACAATCTGGAAGTCAGCATACGGAGCACTCCGCACTTCGTGGCGGTGCGTCCATTACTGGCGGTGTCGGTCCATCGGCAGTAGGCCGGCAGCATGGATCGAGTGCACAATCCGCTAATCGATTGACAAGCACCTGCCCCGCACGCAATGGAGTCGCAGCCGGGTCCCTGCGCATCGGCCGTGCACGTCCTTCGATGCCCAAAAGCACAACGCCGACCCAACCCGACCTCAGGGACGACGGCGCATGCAGACCAGCGGTGTGTCCAGCACCCACTGTGGAGAACATCACACGAGGAGTGTCAAACATGCGGGCACACAGCGATGGCGACGACGACGATGGTGGTGGCGGTGACGATGCCGACGAACGATTCGGGGAGGACTTGGAAGCAGGGGACGACGACGGCGACATTCCTATTCGGCCTTTGGGGAAGACGGGTGGGAGGGGGAGAGGACGCAGTAGAGGTGTTGTTCGTGGTCGATCCGTTGGCCGTGGGGGCAGAGGTGACGCCAGTGACGACGGTGGGAAGTCTGCAACGTACTGGTCTCCGGAAGAGCAAATGCAACAGGTGAGATGCAAGCGGGAGCAAGAGATGCACCTCGCCGGGCTGGGTCACAATTAAGGACGGATGCGGACCAAGGAGTGGAAGTGGGACGACATTGCGAAGCGCATGGCGAACGTGGGGAGGCCTAAAGACGCGGACGACTGCATGAAGAAGTGGGACAATCTCTTCCAAAACTACAAGAAGATACAGAGGTTTCAAAATGCGAGTGGCCGGCATGATTTCTTCGGGCTATCGAATGAAGAAAGGAAGTAGCACAACTTCAAGTTTCGAATGGAGAGGGCGTTGTACAACGAGATCCACGCAGGCATGCTGGGCAACCACACAATTTCCCCTCCCAACGTCGTCGACACCGGAAGTCTGGACTGGGTGCAGCTGCCCAGGCGAGGAGCGGGTGCTGGGGAGTCTGTTGGTAGTGAGGCCGCTGGTGAAGGCTTCCCTGAAGAACGTTCTTATACGAGGGACTCCGACAACAACGCAACCAGCGGGGCTGGAGGCGCGAAGCAGAAGAATGCGCGTCAACAGGCGTTGGAGTCGATTGCGGATGTCATGGACCGCCTTGGCGAACTAATGTCGTCGACGATCGAATCGTCTAGCAAGCGGCAATGCAGCATATTCACGAGGCAATGGGACATACTCGAGCAGGAAGTTGCAGTCCAGAAAGCGCACTATGCGGCGTCCAATGAGACTCAGAGGATGATGTGCCACGCACTTATGGAGATCGCTGCCGCCATCCGTGGTCGGTTGGCGATGTAGGGCGCACGGTGTGTGTGTGTGTGTGTGTGTGTGTGTGTGTGTGTGTGTGTGTGTGTGTGTGTGTGTGTGTGTGTGTGTGTGTGTGTGTGTGTGTGTG